AAACCTTTCAACTATAATTCAACCAGCTTAAACTTCAAATCAAATTCTGTTTACCACGGTCACCATCACACTCACCAGCCCCGGAGTGCAGATGAGAGGCCCAGGCTGTCTGCTGTGACTCGGACAAGGTAAACCTGAGGACTGTTTCTTTTTTTTTATTATTCCTTTTACACTAATTATATTTGGTGATATAGCTCTGTTCTGGGACACGTCCGCTCTTAAAAGCAAATATGTGTAAAGCCTAAAGGCAGAGAGCTAAACAGAGCAGCCACCGGTGACAATGATTGTTTAAGTCAGAAGTAGCATGAAATAGAGGTGTTGGGGTGGTGGTGGGTATCAAAGTGGCTTGCAGAGTGAGCTGATCTACTGGAGCTGCTGGCTGAGCTTGACTGAGTGGCAAACCAGAGCTAATGTTATGTCTACTTAGTGGAGTAGCTCAAATGAAATGCATTATGATGCTGGGATGTAGCAGCTGGATTCTGGAAAGACTCAGTTTTTCCCCAATATTAACCTGTTAACCTGTCAGAAATTTTCTTCACCTCACACAAAAAACACGATCAACCAAGAAAACCAAGTCCCAGTTTTAGTGGATCACAAAACATTTAATAGTTGTGAGATATTTTTTTTATTTCAAAAAGGAATTTTCATATTTTCTAGGAAATATTTAAAGACTTTTTTTTGTTTAAATTTTGAAGAAATCCAATATCTCAAATTATCAGGACATTTCATTCTGTCCTGATGATTAAATCATTAAATAACTTGCTATTAAGACGGCATAATTACTGTGTATCTCTCAGTCTAGTTTGTTGCTGAAAAAGCTGGCTGTTCAGAGTGATGTATAGACGCATATTAATGGAAGGTCGGCTGGAAGGTAAAGGAATGGCTGGAGAAAAGGTGCGGAAGCAACAGGGATGACCACAGCCTCGAAAAGATTTACAAGAAAAGTCAGTTCGAGAATATAAGAGCTTCACAAGGATGTCAGTGTCAGTGTGTCAAGACTGATGCATCAAGTCGCTCCTGAACCAACGACAGCACCATGAACATCTTACCTGGTCAAAGGAGTAAAAGAGCTGGACTGTTGAGCAGTGGTCTGGTTTTAGAAGAAAGCACATTTTGTTAAAGTCCAATCCTGGAAGAAGAGGTGAATCCAAGGTGTTTGAAGTACTGTCTACTGTTGGTGGTCACGCACTGTCAGGTGCCATTCGGTTCATCTGGACGCAGCATTTTCAACAGGAAGAACATTTCTTTAGTCATCCAAGTGAGTTCTTCAGTCTTCAGCTGACTGCAGGTTTCCCCAGCACTATCAACAGTACAGATTCAGTTGGGTGGCTGAAGCTCAGGAAGCAGAGCAGGTCACCTCCCAGATATCCTTGGACAAGATAATAGCACATATTAACGATCATGAAACTGAGCTTGTAGATTGTTAAGCAACGGTACTAGTTTTGGTTGTAAGATGGTGAGATATGTACTCTTAGGCCCCCTCTCTGGTGCAGAGAT